ACTGCAGGGTAGATGAGAGGAAGGGAAAGCTCAGTTGCACATACAGAGGTCTGTTGCTCAAATGGAAAATCAGAGTTGGATACAACCCAGTATCTCTTTCTCACAGGTTGATACACATGAGATGTGCTCCACGACAGATGGTGTGTTTGAACCCCCCATTTCCCCGTAACTTACTTATGAGGACTTCCTCAGCCAGAGGATGGCAAGTCACATTAGACTGAGCAGCCATTTCAGTGAATCTTGGGTTCCACTTCCAAATGGCACCAAGATCTCAATAGGGAAGTGCTTCTCAAGGTCTCTAGATGGCTACCACCAGCATTACATGGAATCGAAACCAGATGCTTATCCCCACTGCCTGAGGTGTAATGGGTGGCTAGTAAACAAACAAACAAACAAACTGCTTTTGGGGTGGCGGCACCCTGACTGTGGAACCCTCTTGCCAGAGAGGCCTGTCTAGTGCCTCCTTTGTCATGTCAGGAATGGGCAAAGAATGCTAAAACAAAACAAAAAAATCTCAGGTCTTTCCCATAAATTTACTATTCATTCTTGCTGATGAGCCTTATCTTGCTCTCTAAAGAATTTTGTTGCTTTATGAAAAATATTTGTGCCTTAAGGCGCCCTGAAATATTTTAAGCCTAGGGTAGAAATACCTGTAATAAACACTGCCAGTCAGTACTGAGCTGGATGGACCAATAGCCTGAGTCATTACAGTATAAGGCAACTTCTTATGTTTCACAAATTACTCTAAAAGCCATTGAAGCAAGCAGTGTAAATATGTTGTTAGTGCTCCTCTGTCTCTACTGATGTGTTAAAAAGTTACTGTAGTTTGGCAGGGTTGAATGTTGTTGTTTTTTAAGAGGCAAGTGGGACACAGTCATAGCCTATGCATACCGCAAGATGCTACAATCTGAACCAAACCACCACATATATGGTAACTACAAATTATGTTTCATATTACGTAAATAAGCATAAAAGTTCTCCTCCTGAAAGCCAATAGGACAAAGGCAAACTTTTATTTCATTCTCCCTAGCCAAATGCCACAGGATGTCTGTGCTTTGTAATTTTAGTTTATTGCTCATTCCTGCCCTTTCCTCATCTTTCCCTAATTAGACAGCATCTTTCCTTAATTAGACAGCTCTGAATATCGGCATTAGCAAACTATTGCCAAAAGGATATAGTGTGACTTAATTATTCTAAAGCCAAGTGGTGACATTTCCTTGGCAATGGTCCTCTGCCATAAGGTACACACAAAGGGTGCCACCATGATAGTTTTAGCTGGAAAAGGGTGCAGCTCTTCTGAATGGAAAGCTAAACGTATTTGAGCAGGAAACAAAAGGCAGGGAAATCAGGCCAACTCCTGATGGTCACACAGAGGTAAAAGACACACTGCACATTTCAAGCACATGGCTTCCCCCCAGAGAATCCTGGGAATTGTAGTTTGTTAAGGGTACTGGGGATTATAGTTCTGTGAGTTCCCAGGATTCCTTCGGGAAGTCATTAGAAACTGGCACCACTGGAACTTTTACTCCGAATGCTGTCATATGTGGGCAGATTTTTTTAAAACCAAAATTGTAGAACAAAACAAAAAACAATATAGGCACATGGTATGCAAACAACAAAAGATCTAGCCTCACATGGTTTTGAAATTCCAAATCTTTCTATGAATCCCTTGTCCCCCCCATCTCCTCCCTAAAAGTTCTCTCCAATTCCACTTAAATACACAAGATATAAGAAATGAACATTAAACTATAGCAGAACAATTAAAACCCTGGTAAAGCAAGTGTCAATTTGAAACCTCTCTAAGTGGCATTGGCAGGTCTGGAATCTAAACATTAGCTACATAAAGCAATTTAAAGTTGTATATTGCCAACAGTGATTTCTGCAAAGGCACAAGTCCTATCTAGAGTGTGAGAGTAATGGGCATATTTGAAGAGTGTTCTCAGTACTATCCATTAGAAATATCTGAATTAAGAGCAGAGTAAAAGAGGACACCATGAAGCACACTATATTCAGAATGAAAACATAACACTATTAAAAGCTGCAGCAAGGGTGCCCCTGTGTGGACACAACAAAATACTCTGATCTGTAAAAACGGGACCTTTGGTGAAGGTCTATTCAAAACGTCTTTAAAGAAAACTTTCTGCCCTAATTAACAGATTATATACAGTGGTACCTCGGGTTAAGTACTTAATTCATTCTGAAACTGTTCTTAACCTGAAGCACCACTTTAGCTAACGGGGCCTCCTGCTGCTGCCGTGCCGCCAGAGCACGATTTCTGTTCTCATCCTGACGCAAAGTTCTTAACCCGAGGTACTATTTCTGGGTTAGCAGAGTCTGTAACCTGAAGCGTATGTGACCTGAAGCGTATGTAACCCGAGGTACCACTGTATAAGTAAAAGCAGCTATGATATATTTCAAGAAAGAAACCCACTTCATGGTTTATTCTACTTCTTCCCAAAATGTTTTGTAACTGATACCTGTCTGGTAATAAATCACACTAACACGTCCTACAAGTTTTTCTAAGTGTGTATATTGTGAATAGCATAATTAATTAAGCAAGATCTGAATGTGTGTGTATAGATAGATGATAGAGATATCAGAGAGAATAGTACTATTATTGTGACGATGACAACACTCACTATATTTGCATCAAAAATATCCTAATAATCTTAGAGTATCTATTGCTATTTAGGATGTAACAAAAGCATAACAATTCCAAACTGCAAATCACTGGCAGCTCCCAGTTTTACCTTTGACCAAACTACACCTTACATTAGACATACAGTTACCGGTAGGTATTGTAGAATTCTTTCTAAAAAATTTCAGAGCAGCTATAAGGGGCCTCCATTGCACAAAATGGGGGCTAATTCTTCTTCCCATACCATAGTCCTGATGAAACCACACACCCATAGCTTCTATTTGGCATGGGAGTTAAGCAGCCATTCTCGGACTGATAAATCAAAAACTTTGTTGAGGAATAGCAGGAAAATCAAATGCCCTATAAGACTGGGAGTGAAAAAGGCAAGCGTGCTCCAAGTTCCGACCAATTTTGCAGAAAAAGTCACCACATTTTGGGGACTTTTCCACATGCTGAAATTACATATCCAATGAACCTTCAGGATTGGTGCTGGTATTGTTATTGTGCTTTCTTAAATCCAGTGCCAGAAGTAGATCTCCTTGCAATACAAGAGAGGAACAGTAGGCTGCAGAAGATAGCCACTGGTGAGATGTTTCAAGAGTGTATTGCAGTGTTTACCTGAGTTCAGTCTCCTTTGGAATGAGGTCACTGAATGTGGACTACACGATTCTCCCTGTCCCCATTTCATCATCGCAACAACCCTGTGAGGTGGATTAGACTGAATGAGATTGATGGGCCTAAGTCCACCCAGTGAGCTTCATGGCTGAGTAAAGGTTTGAACCAGGCATAGGCAAACTCCGGCCCTTCAGTTGTTTGGGACTACAATTCCCATTCCCATCATACCCTAGTTAACAGGACCAGTGGTCAGGGATGATGGGAATTGTAGTCCTGAACATCTGGAGGGCCGGAGTTTGCCTATGCCTATGTCTGAACTTGAATCCTGATCTCCTAGGTCTCTCCAAGGCTAAACTCCCCCACCAGTCCTGTTCTCCACTCTCTTTTAGGGCTTTTGCCTGGCTGGAATGTGTCCTTCAACAGTAATACTGTAATGCCTCTGTCTTGCCTGGCTGAAGGATGGTAGGGCAGCGTAAGAAATGTTCTAGTTCTCTTGAGAATAACTTTGGGATATCTTCAAGCACGAGACAATAGGTCATTTTCCAAGGAGCGAGTACATGATAACTATAAACCGAGTCGCTTCAGAAATGATTAGAAATAAAATGCAGCCAGTGCCTCCAAGACATACTGCACAATCCTCCTCAGTTGCGTTTTCTTAACTTATCGCATGGATTTGAGAATCCATGTGATAAGTTAACAGCGCCTTATGTATATGTGGTGCCCAAGTACATAAAGTAGATCTTTATCATTATTTACTAGACTGCTCATTGTATTCTGAACTAAGGACAAACTTTATCGTGAAATTGTTAAGTAAGATACCTGATGATGATCCAGCAAAAATTACATATTTGTTGTCCAAGTGTGACAAATTTGTGACAGAGTTAGAAGATTTGCAGTGGCAGCCCAAAAGCTGAGGAGAAATTTTATCGAGGCTAATACGGTAAATGCAATTATTTAACTGGATGATTTAATTTAGAAAGTTATCTGGATGCTTTAAAATGTATTAAGTTTGCTTAACCACTTGTATTTTGATATAGATTTTCTTTTATTCTTTTTTAACCTTTGCATATATATTATGTTGTTATTGGTACTTGAACATATTTTAATATAAAGGAATACTTTGGTGCACACTGCTCTTCAAGATTTTATCAGTTTATATTATTTTCCTTGTCTTTGGTTGATATGACCAAGGTGGTCGAAATAACAATTGATCCCGTGTAGGTCTACTCGGAAGGAAGTCCCTCGAAGTTCAACGGGGCTTACTCTCAGGTAAGTGGGCACAGGTTACCTGGGAGTTAGCCTCATTGAACATGGGGGAAATTGCTCTGAATAGACCTGCACAGGATCAGACCTCTGAACAAGACGCAGAAGAGCGCAAAAGAATGATCTCGCTGGCAACTCACCCTGAGCACAGTTTTCTCAAGGCAACTCCTGGCAGCAAAAATAGGGGAAATGCTTAACCCAGGACACTGACAAAACAACACCACCACAAAACAGCGGCTGCATCTGCGGGGACTGGATCCAATACATTGTCTGGTGCGGACAAGTTTCTCCAATATTTGGACTCCAACTCCCATCAGCCGCAGCCAGCACGGCCAATGGTCATGGACGATGGGAGTTGTGGTCTAGCGAACATCTGGCGGGCCGCTGCTTTCCTGGGACTAACTCTGTGGGAAAACCTTCACGAACCGAACCGGAAGGATAGGCTACTTGTGACCACCATACCCGCCATTTCTCCCGCCCTCCAGCTGGGAGGCAAGCAGAAACTCGCGCGCCCCGCGCCGCCCCCGACGCGGGGAAGCAGGCAAGCAGGTAGGGCGCCCGCCCACCAATATCCGGGTCTCGGCATCTGGGGCCGCCCACTGAGCTGCGGACGCCGCCTCTTTTCTGTGACGGCTCGCGAGCGAAGGAGGTTGAGGCAGCAACTTGGAAGCAGCTGAAACAGCCTCGCGGGGGGCTGCCTTGGCGCGGAAGAAGAGCTGACGCTGCAAACCCCTCCGCAGGTGCCCGCGGCGCTCCAAGGAGGAACTGGGTGTGTGGGGCACCTGAGGGTCATTCTCCCCAGCTTCCTCTGGGGCTCGGTTCAGGTCCTGCCTGTTTGCCGGCTGCTTGCTCAAGGGAGGCGAAGCGACTGCCCAGGTCAGTTCTTACTTCCTAGCTAGGGCTGTTTGTATTGCAAGAAGGCTGCATGCACCCCCCGGGTTTGAAGCACATCTCCCTCCCGCACGCCCCCCCCCCCAGTGCCAGATATAAGCTAAACAAGCTATAGCTTAGGGCCCCACTCTCTTGGGGCCCCACTAAAATTTTTCCTATTATTCCTATTTATGTTCCTATTATTTTCCTAAATTTTCCTAAAATATTCCTATTATTTTCCTACTATTAATATACTTCTTCTTAATTGTATTTCAGTTCAACAATTAATTTGATAAAATGCATATTTTGTTATGTGCAAATGGCTTTAGATACCTATTAGGTCCATAAATTGCCATATAGCATATATTCAACACAAAAAACAGGGACAATTGGTTGTTGGCAAAGGACAGCGGGACATATAAAGGGCTCCATTACCTTAAGTAGCTTAGGGTCTCATCAAACCTAAATCCAGCCCTGACGCCGCACCCTCCCCACCCCAAAAATGTTTTGGGGGAACTTTAGTTTTCCTAGCCCAGAGCTACAGTCCCCAGCACCCTTTAGAAACTACAGTTCTCAGGATTTGTGTGTGGTTTAAATGGGTGCTGTGCGTGCAAGTATCCCCATTAGCTGTTATCATTTCACTCCTCATCAACAATCATTTACTTCCAGAGTTTGCTGAAACTGCGCAACTGCTATCTAGTTACAGAGGTCAGCCTTCACAGTTGCCCAGTTTCTCCAATGCCAGCTGCCTCTGTGACTCTCCCAAATAAAAACCAGAGTTTACTGGAAGTAGATTTCATCGGTTTCCAACAAAATTGGTACATAGAAGACGGGACCGTTCAGTTGTCGTGTTTTTCTCGGTCGTGCTGAGCCTTGGGTTCCCTCTGACTTTTCAATTATATATTAGTTTTGTAGCAGACTGCATCCCAAAGGCTCTGGGCAGAGAATGCAGGTATTAAAAGACAATAGAAACGCGAGCCACACTTCTGAGCAAAATTAAGTGCACTTAATCATGTTGCCTGGTGCTCACCAATTATACTATTGATTTTCTCGTCCGTTTGCTAGCTGAACTCGGAATGGCACATGTCTTTAATATGGAACTAGAATAATTGCTAGTTTGGGAGTGGATCGGGAGTGATGATGAAATTGATGAGGATGATGCAAAACAAATACTAAAGATATGCTGAGCTTGGTAGTACCATGCAACGATAAGGGCAAAGTTCAAATGGATTGTTCTTCAAAACCCAGATTGGTTTCGAACAATACAAACATTGCTTAGAATGCAAAACAGCCCCATTATGCAATTGTCATATGAAGCTGTCCCACATTTATTTCTATGCAACCATGTTCGGGGTTGTGACCTAAATGCCTCTTAACCAAGAATCCCTGTATAACTGGTTTGTAAATGAAGCTGTCATAACTCTATAGCCTACATTGCAGTAGCCAGGAGTTTCGCATGCAACGTTGTAAACCCAGTTTTCTTATGGCTTTTATATCATTTCAGAAGAGAAAAGTCATGCCTTATCCCGAAAGCAAAAAAATATTATTTGGCCTAATGGCCGGGGCTGCTGGAATAACCTTGGGCCTCATTTGGTATCGAAAGACACAGAAATGCAGTAAAGCCATGTACTTGCCTACCTTTTTGAATTCAGAGGGCAGTTTTGACTTGGTAAATTTTCCACATGAAACTCATAACGAACAAGGAACCGTGATGCTATTGCAAGGAAGGCAGCTTCAGGTACTGGAAAAAATGAATGGTTTAATAGCAACTGTGGAAGAACTTAAGAGAGAAGTAGCATTTCTGAAAGAAGCAATTCCAAAGTTGGAAGAACTTGTCCGGGATGAACTCAAGGGGAGAACAGATTCTCGCAGGAGCAGCCCTTTGCACAGAGGAACAAAGAAGAGGAAGACTGAGATTGGCAAAGGTGTGTCAGATACCAACAGTTCTGAAGAAGCAGAAAGTGAAGGCGGGTAGGTATTTATGAATTATTTCAGGTCTATCCCAACCTCTAATAATATATTATTACATATTTATTAATCACTATTTTGAGTGTAAGTAATTTGCAAATCCACTCTCTAGATCATGGCTTGTTAGAGCTTTACCTGTAGTTATCCAAACAGCAGCTCCTGGTTCAGTTTAATGGCAATTTGCCATTGGAAACAGAAGCAAATGTTTCTGATCTCTGTGACATTGCTGAAGGAAAAAGGGAGTGGGGTACGAGTCTGAGGCTCAGTCGCTTCAGGTGAAGCTGTGGTGGGAAGTGTTTAGTTTTAAACCAGAGCTAGCTGCCCATCCCAAGGCAGGGGGGAAGCAATATTGGAAATCAGTGGCAGGTAAGCTGCATTCTCAACATTTTATTAGTACTATTATTATTTATTACATTTGTTAGTTGCTTTATCTTGCCCAAGGCAACTCAGAGCAACCCAAAAATCCAGCCAGTTTGCATTGCATGAAGTAGCCCAAAATCTTTCAAATATCAGTATATTTTAGGAAAGCCTATGGCAAAGGGATGTATTGCCTTCGCTCTTGCAAACTCGCCCTTAGTTTGGCTTTTATGTGGTTGTTTTCAAATATTACGCACTAGTTGTGCTCCTTGGTTTGCTTCAACTCCAGAAACCTTTAACATTGCAGCTGAATAGAACTTGCACTTCTTGGTCTCCTCCCATCTTAAGAGCTGTTAACAATGGAAAATACAATTCCTTTGGTGAAACATTATCCCTTCTGCTTTTGTGTCGGCACTTCTGCCGATAATATCTAATACTGGATTGCTCCTGTATCACTTTCCAGGGCTGACGTTGCCTGGAAATGGTTTAGTTAATTCCAATTCACTATAAAATCTAAACCTACAGCAGTGTGCTTGTGCCAGAAATTCCACTCAGAAAAATATCCACCAGACTGTCATATCTGGTGTTGTAGGTGCATGCTGATGTACTATGTATTATGTATTTAATAGAAGGCATAAGCTGTGCCTTCCCACCTTGTAAAACCAAGGCAGTTTCCATTGATCAGTACAACTTTAGTAAGAAGGGAAAAGGTAATGAAACATAGCAAAACAAACCCCCAAAAATCATAACAAAGCAGACCCACTTAATAATAACCTCAGGGAGAAGAGATTGTGAAGTAGCTCTTAATTTCAACGGAACACAAAAAAGACAGCCTCAACTTAGATAACAAAGTTTCTGTGCATGCTTATAATTGTATCATAACCAAGCTAATAATATTAGTATTTGCGTAGATACATTATATTGATGTTTCTGTGCAATTATTTATCAAATAAGTGCTAATATTTAATTGAGTACCGAGAGTGGATCACTGAGCTTGTGACAGCTCTAGAAACACATTTGCCAAGACTCCTTACTCTGCCCTCTCTTTGCTGGATTTACTTCAGAGTAAGTGGATTCAATTTACTGTTTGTTTGTTTGTTTGTTTGTTTGTTTGTTTGTTTGCTTCCTTCCTTGCTTGCTTGCTCACTTGCTTGCTTGTTCATTTGTTTGTTCATTCATTCACCTGAGGGTCACAGGGTGGTTTTCAGTATAAAAATACATAACATAATAACAAACCAAACAATATCCCTCACACACAATTTAAAAGGCGATTTTAATTAAATCAAAAAATAGATTAAATTAAATCACAATTTAATCAGCCAAAGGCCTGATTATAGAGAAAAGTTTTTGTTTGGCACCTAAAGATATGTAATGAAGGTGGCAGGTGAACCTCCCTGGGGAGAGCATTCCACAAACAGGGAGCCACTGCAGAAAAGGCCCATCCTAGTATTGCTGCCCTCTGGACACACACACACACACACACACACTTTAATTAGTTTTGTAATATAGCATTTCCAAAAGTCATATAACATAGCTTCTTATCTTATGCAATGTTCTAGACTTTCGTCAACACCTCTGATGATTTTTCATTCTTTATCACTTATTCTGCATTTCTTAATTTCTCTATTACTCTTAATTGTCATTAACGAATAATTCTCCTTGTAGTCTTTCTTGCAATATTTCTAATAGTCCTCCTTACAAAACTTCTTGCAGTCTTGACATTCTCCTCCAATGCATCATGTTTCAATAGGACCGGTCTGAGAATTGGCCACTAGAGGGCAATCATATGAAGGTCACTGCTTTTATCTTTGTGGGAGCATTTTTTGTACAGTACACAATACATGGATGAGTGACTGGTGGTGTCAGTTTTTAACTTGCATTACACCAAACAAATATTGGAATGATCCATACAGGTGACAACCTTTAATGATTTATGTATAAATTACAGAAAAGAAAAGCAGGCAACTGAAATGCTGATTGTAAAATGTTTTCCTTGCTCAAGTTGCTTGGTTAGTTTTTAAATATATAGTTCAGTCTGTTGGTGTTCCATGCCCTAATTCTTCAGAGCACTGACTAGAATTCACAGGCAGAGCGAGAAGGAAATGGAGAACTCCCAGCTAACTTCATTCAGTGGCTACATTCCCCTACCGCCCCCCACCCCCAAAACCCTTTCCCTTCCTCGTGGCTCTCTTGGGATTCCCAGAAGCATTGAGGCCCTGCCATACCTGCATAGATGAAAACCAGGCCAAATTCAAGGTGCAGAGGTTTTGGTTTGCCCAGAAGTGTTCTCTTGACATATATGACCTCCCTTTGTTTGTAATCTAAGCTGGGAAGAGAAACTATGAATTACACTGTCTTCTCACTTTCCCACTCCCTGTCTTGACTTGATTTTGTCTAGCAATTGCAGAAGCTAAAAAGTGGTACTTATGGCATGCAGGGGGGTGGGGGTGGGACCCCACTCAAAATTCTTGCAAACTTCTAATAAGAACTCCAAGAATAAGTACTCAATGCATCATATGAAAACTTCTTGATGCGTTAATTTTTATTTGTACAGCAAATCTTGTAATATCCATTACAAACTTTTCAACCTTGTGAGAACAAGGCCTTGACACAGAGTGTTTTTGTTTTTTAAGCCTGGAACTGTTTTCGTTGGCAGGAAAGAGATAACTTTCCTCATCTCAAGGTCTTGGTGAGCAACATTGATGGCTATGCCTATAGCCCTTGAAGGGTATTTGATGTGGTGCCGAAAGGCTGCTAGCAGCAAAGTAGATGGTATCATGAAGGAACTTGTAATCCCACATAGTAAATTTTTATCTTTACTATTGCTCAGGGTCTTAAAGCACTTTCAGTTGGTTCAACAAGTGAAATCTCTTTTGCTCTCTAATTTAAAGCATAAACATTGCACCAGAAACAAAAGGAGTGGGTAGTATGCTTTGAAAAATGCTTATCGTTAACATTTCACTGCATTCAGACTTAAGTTTCACTGAATTTGGTCAGTGTCCGAAGTAGTATGCTGTTTTGGCATCGGGAAAATGCTGCTTTAAAAACCCAGTGGGTGCATAGAAGGTAACAATCAAAAATGGGTTTTTAATAGTGGTATACAGTAGAAGCGGACACTTTAGCAGTTAGAAGAATACATTTTAGCAGATTTCACTTAAACATGCAGTGCCTCAGAGCCCAACCCCTGTGTAAATGGGGAGTTGCACAATTGATATTACAAAGTATGGCTTCTTCTCTCTCTCTCTCTTTCTCTAATTTCCATTAACTGAGCAACTTTCTTAAGATGGCATAACTGGTAAAATTGTTAAAGTTGCTAAGAGTGCTGGCTTTTGTCGCCTTTAGGAGAAGTTAAGCTATTCCCACCCACAAAACCCTTTGTGTTTTAGCTACATTACAGCTCATACTGACACTGAAGGAGAGTCTGAGGAAGAAAAAGGATGGATCAGTTCTTCCACATCCCCTCTGGCACCTGAAGAGAAGATAGAATTATTTAATCTTCTACAGAATGCGGACAGGTTGCATTATGGTTCAGACAATGAGAAAAGGGAGAGCTTCAAACTGCTGCTTGAAAATGAGGAAAAGGTATAAAGGGTCCATGCCATGCAAACATTTCATACTAAAAGCTATAATTCAGTGCGCTATATGTCATTCTCTTAAATGTTTATGTAATGTTAAAATTAAAGGAGGTACCGCAGAAGGTGCCACAGGAAATTATTACAACTCAGTCCTTGCTCTGATAGAAGAATTAGATTTTCTCAGCCACAAAATGTTGTGGCTGGAACACTGAACAAATGTGACATTCCTGCAACAGAATCTCTACTTCAGCAGAAGGTGCTTGGATTCTGCACAACAGACTAGCAACAACTCTCCATTTTGTTGGAGGGTAACTGGAAAAAATTATTGATTTGCAGTGGCTGTTTATTTCAAAGCCCTATTTGTTGTTCCTCAGAAGTATCTGGAAAGACCAACAAAAGAAATCAGTGGCTGGATAGAATGAGTTAGAATACAATAAGCTTTAATATGTGCAGAATAAAAAGTGAGGACTAGCATAATAGGCATTTTAATTATGGCAAAAGAAATATGTGGTGAAGGCAATCTAATGTATCAAATTCTGTTTACCTGCAGTATAGAAATCATACTGGCTTTCTTTGGAGGCTTGCCCGAGCTTATGGAGACATGTTTGCAATAACCACAGAGGCTGAAGAAAAAAAGGACTATGCTACCAAAGGTCAGCTGAGTTATGTACTGAGTTTATAATACCAAGAGGATTAGGTTCCCCTGCTCCAGCCCTGTGTTTCACTTGGGGGATACTGGAGCCAGCAGAAGGGCGGAGCATCAATCCTTTTAAAAAACTATCATGATAGGAGTTTTCTCTTCATACCTGGGTTGTTTTTCAGTTACTAGACAAAGTTCTAGGCATGGTTACCCGTGTCCCACTAAAATAACTGAGACTTGTTTCAGGGCAAACATTAGTGATAATCGTTTTAACCTTTGAACTGGCTTTATAAAGTTCAACATTGTCCATTAATTATTATTTTATTAAATTTATATACCACCCATCATCTAAAGATCACAGGGTGGCTCACAAACTATAACTAACTATGGTGGAACCATGGAAGCCAAACACCTGTAAACTCGAACGTTTCGACTCCCGAACGATCGAAAACCGGAAGTGATTGTTCCGGTTTTCGAATGATTTTCAGAAGCCGAATGCCTGGCACGGCTTCCGCAGCTTCTGATTCTGCAGCCAATCGGAAGCCACACCTTGGAAGTCAAATGTTTTGGAAGTCGAACGGACTTCTAGAACGGATTCCGTTCGACTTTGAAGGTACATCTGTATTGTTATCTTTATATTGCATAGCATGTTCTTCAGCTAATATGGTCAGGTTTATTGTTATATCACGAATAGTACTTTTATGTTCTGTGATGCGTCTTTTGCAGGAAAGCTTGTGAGTGAAAATGCTGTAAACCTGGATCCATCAAGTGCTGAGAGTCACCAGTGGTAAGTCTGAAGGACTTGGATCCATCAGATCAAATCTTTGTTGTTACAGCCAATGACCAGTATGAAGAAAGCAAGAAATAAATAAACACGAACCACGTAGAACACATTATCCAAATGTGTATAATAGGGTAAAATAAAATCAGTAAAAGTAACATAAAATAAACTAAAATAGGCCACACCTAAAGCAATACAGCGGAACCTCTACCTATGATCATAATCCATTCCGGAGGCCCGTCCGCTGGGCAAAACCAGACGCTAGTAGAGGCGCCATTGTGCGGGCAGCAGCGCATTTCTGCGCATGCGTAGATCATGGCAGCCGCTTGTGCGCTTGTGCAGATGGCAGAAGCCACTTCTGCGCATGTGCAAATTGTGGCAAACCCAGTGTTTACTTCCGGGTTTGCCGTCGTTGCAACTTGGAACGTCTGCGAGAAGAGGCGGATGTAAGTTGAGGTTCCACTGTTAGATGCATTTTGATCTGAAAGGAGTTAAAAGGACATAAAATGCATCTGATCATTCTGGGAATTAATAAAAAGGGGTTCAATAGATTTGATCTTTCCAGAGTTATAGGGGCACTTGCATTCAGACTCTCTTCCCATTTAAGCATATCTCCCCCCAAAGACAGCATCCTAAAAAGCAGAGACATCACCTTGCCGACAAAGGTCCGTATAGTTAAAGCTATGATTTTCCCAGTAGTGATGTATGGAAATGAGAGCTGGACCATAAGGAAGGCTGATTGCCGAAGAATTGATGCTTTTGAATTATGGTGTTGGAGGAGACTCTTGAGAGTCCCATGGACTGCAAGAAGATCAAATGTATCCATTCTTAAGGAAATCAGCCCTGAGTGCTCACTGGAAGGACAGATCGTGAAGCTGAGGCTCCAATACTTTGGCCACCTCATGAGAAGAGAAGACTCCCTGGAAAAGACCCTGATGTTGGGAAAGATGGAGGGCACAAGGAGAAGGGGGCGACAGAGGACGAGATGGTTGGACAGTGTTGTCGAAGCTACTAGCATGAGTTTGACCAAACTGCGGGAGGCAGTGGAAGACAGGAGTGCCTGGTGTGCTCTGGTCCATGGGGTCACGAAGAGTCGGACACGACTAAATGACTAAACAACAACAACCCCCCAAATTGCTGAGGGAAGCACATTTAGGCATGCCAGTGTGAAGGCTCGGCAATACGTTTGGACCAAGAGACTTGAATATGAATTGATTGGAACAAATTTCACTCTATCCTAAAGCGAAAGTGTGGGGAAGGACCTTAGTCCCATGGAGAACACATGTGGGACATAACAGAAGGTCCCAGGTTCGATCTCTGGCCTCCAGGTAAGACTGGAGAAGATTCCTGTCTGAAATGATGGAGGCCCACTGCCAGTCATTGCTAAGCTGGATGGACCAGTGCTCTGACTCTCTATGAGGCAGTTTCCTATATTCCATCTTACTGCATTTTGTACTTGCAGAGAATGTGTATACACACACATGTGTGGTAGGAGGTCTCAGCCACTCACATCTTCCCAATATATACAGGAAAATATGTGCAGTTATAACACGTGGGATCCACATGTGTTGTGAATGTTCTTACCTACATGGAACTGAAATGCTGCCTGTGTTATACAGCCTGTATAGTGAACTCCTTGTGTTTTCATCTAAACGCAGAGAAAAGGAGGAGGAAGGACAAACAATGTTTCGAACCTCTGTAAGATCAGGGTCAGCCCACAATGTTTTGGCACCCGAGAAGGGAAATCTAAATGACATCTTGTAGTTAAAACACAGCCCAAAATCAATGGTACCCCAAATCTAATGCTTCATTTTGCCTCCTGCTAGAGTCAGCCCTGTTTCAAAGTAACGGAACTCTGAGCAGTGGCTTTTGAGTTACTCGCAGATCCCTAGCTGGACCATTAGGTGGTGCTCATGGCCCTTCTTTCTCCCTGGCTTCCTCCTATTTCAGAGCCAAGTTGTTTTTATTGTGATTTCACAGTCCACCAAGGTTGCCCGTGCTGCTGACAGCTATGCGACTTAAGTGGGCAAGAGGTCTCCCTGTTCATGAGGTTGCAGCCCAAATGCCTCTTGATGACATCCATACATCTCCACCCTTCCCTTTAATTTTGTGTCTGGCGCTGCTATCTTTTGTCTCTTCCTATGCTGGTAGAAGTCTAGGAATATACCGTATTTTTCGCTCTATAAGACGCACCAGACCACAAGACGCACCTACCGTATTTTTCGCTCTATAACACGCACCTGACCATAACGCACCTAGTTTTTAGAGGAGGAAAACAAGGGAAAAAACATTCTGAATGAAACAGTGGATGTATCATTTTTGTGCTTCATGCTGTGGCCACAGACATGTGATCTGATGGTGAATTTGGGGTGACCCAATGCAAAAATCCTGATAATTCCTGTGGATCCATGCTTTGTAACCACGTTTTTGCACCATTGCAGCCCCAGGCAACAGTGGGTGCGTGATTTTTTGGGTGCAGGCTGTAGCCATGGACATGCTATGTGATCTGATGGTGAATTTGGGGTGACCCAATGCAAAGATCCTGAGGATCCATGTGGATCCATGCTTTTTAACCACATTTTAAGTGGGGAGCGAAGGAAAAACAAAGAAGGGACATGAGAGGGGTGTGCAGAGAAGCAGCTGGCTAAGAATGCTGGAGAGGGATTTAACGGGTGGGAGGCAAAAGTTCCCCCCCAAGCCAGCCATCTCTCTCTCTCTCTCTCTCTCTCTCTCTCTCTCTCTCTCTCTCTTTCTCTCTCTCTCTCTCTCCCTCTCCCTCCCCCCTCTCCCTCTCCCTCCCCCACTCTCTCTCCCTCTCCCCCAGCAGTACCGGAGCACAGAGACGACACTTTCCCCTCTGCTTGCCTGGAGGGGAGGGGCTTTCCCTGCTCTTTGTTCCGTTTCAGCAATCACAGCAACGAAACAGAGGAGGGTGGGCAGTAAGACCCTGAGGCAGAATGCAGGAAAGCTGCCACTTCCTCTTTTCAGGTTTCCCTTCTCCGTGAAGAGCGATTTGACTTTTGCTTGATTTTTTGGCTCCAGGGACCACACATTCGCTCCATAACACGCACAGACATTTCCCCTTCCTTTTTAGGAGAAAAAATCTGCGTGTTATAGAGGGAAAAATACGGTAGTTTTTGGAGGAGGAAAACAAGAAAAAAAATATTCTGAATCTCAGAAGCCAGAACAGCAAGAGGGATCACTGCACAGTGAAAGCAGCAATCCCTCTTGCTGTTCTGGCTTCTGGGATAGCTGCGCAGCCTGCATTCACTCCATAAGACGCACACACATTTCCCCATACTTTTTAGGAGGGAAAAAGTGAGTCTTATAGAGCAAAAAATACAGTACTTGAGACATACAACTTACATGCACAACTCCATTTCCTTCAGAATTATTGTTATGTTTGACATTTTCCCATTCACTTTTCCCTAACTGTATTATTATCCTCCTCCAGCATAATTCTAGGCATGTCTATTCAGAAGTAAGTCCTATTGAGTTCAGTGGGATTTACTCCCCACAAGTGTGTGTGTAGAATTACAGCCAGTTTCTTTTCTAACTGCTCTGAATTATTACCTTCAACCACTTTCTGGCCTCCCTCCTTCGTGGCTTTATTGGATAGCCTTCTTTAAACTCTAGTTAATTTCCTCTATTAATGCATGCTTTTTCAAACTTTATTTTTGAACCGTGCTGTGTATCATGGACCTAAGATTGGCTTTTAAAAACCACTAGCAGCCTTCACAGTGATGTATTTCTGATCCTCATGAGATGTCCTCCCTGCAAGTTCTGTGTCTTTATGTTGATTCCGTTCGCTTCAGTAGTCATTGGTCCCTGGTCAGATCCCCATGCAGCTCACTGCATAGGTTGAATTGTACTACATCAGCAAGTAACATGTGCCTCTTTCATTCATGGATAGTTGTAGTTAGCACATCCATTTGTGATGGGAACAGGATGTTGATCCCTATCCTGATGGTGTTCATCCCTAGTGATTTTACTGCGTAGCTTTTAATACCCACCCTTTATATTATAACAGGTATTTACAGGTATACTGGAAAAAGCATAGTTTGAAGCTGTAGAGAAGGCTATGCTTCAAGTTGAATCAGTTAGGAGGGAATAGCTATGAACCCTGAATACACATTTTCTGAGCATATGCCATATCAAAAAGCCATACTTGAACTTCTGTGTATTCAATTTACAACCTCAGTTGTCCTTTTTTACTTTTCTTCTATTGATTTGTTTTTATTTAGAGGAACAGCTTTTGCATCATTTTTTTATAGCTTTGGTTGGAAAAGTACACATGAGTACTCTCTATCCAGTATTACTTGTAAGTAGACTGGGCTGATGCACTTTGCCTCACAATCCTATGCATGTTTACACAGTCCCACTGTGTGAAATAGACCTTACATCCTGGCCAGGATTTATAGGATTGCAGTCCTAGAGTTTATTTCAGAGAATGTAGCTGTAATTGATCGTGTTAAATCTTCATTTTATGAACATGTTTTGCTTACCAGAAGTTGATTTAGACTTTTGCAAACAATTTTGTTTGTTTGTTTGTTTTGCATGAAGATAGTGCAGAAGTTACTAATCTATTGCACCTAAACTAAATGACTTTCCTCTATTGAAGACCGCAACTGCTGGAAAACCATGTTCTGCCAGCTCTTAGATTTCTTCCTTGAAAGGATGGGACTAGTTTGTAAGTGCCCTTTTTGCAGTTGTGAGTCATGAAACCTCTCTGGTCTGGAAGCACCTTAGTGCTCCTAATCATTGCTCCTTAGCTGTAAGCTAATTGCAATTGACTACCTACATTTCAGGGATGTGCAATGCTTTTTGGTATGCTCAGTTCACTATGTTCTGTCTGCATTGTGAGTGTGGCATAGCCATGTGGGCAGAGTTCCCCTTTCTGCACTTTATTGGTAGTGACACATACACCCTTCTATGTACACTACAGTGCTGCATAGTTTGTGCTCCTCAGTGCCATTTTAGCACCCTGTGTTGTGTGTGTGCCTGTGTGTGGTTTTTACAGTTTTTGAAGTAGCGCAATTGCAAAATAAAAATAATTTGCTTTCAAATGTTTGCCGCACAGCACCAGATTGCAGCTGAGCTTTTATTTGAGTAAACATGATTACAGATCAGTCTGATGGTCCCTTGGATTTCACCTTAAAAGGCTCGATCTCTGCTGTAGCCAGTTTCACTGGACCTAATCAGGTTTCACAACCTGGTTAGAAAACTTGCCAGCTTGATTTCTCCCTGCTTGTTAGTTGTGCCATTCTACTATAGCTCAATTGCATTTTAAAAAATTAATTATTGCTTGCAGCAAGTTTAGAGGGTTACAGTCAGAACCTACACATCCTGTGCCTGGAAGTAAGTCATGCTCTTCTTAATGTAATCTATGAATCTAATTACTAACTGAAGCAATTCATTAAGGCTATGAACCAGTAGATCAGGGGTCAGAACTTGATAGTGCAGAGCTTTTGCCCTCTATTTGACCACATCAAATTGTTGTGAAGTATTGTGAAATAGTGGGTGGAAGGTGAGGGGGGTCAATATTGAAAGAATGATAGCGTTCTCAGTCACAGGCTAAACCAACACAGGTGCTGGTTTTAGTGTTTAAAATCCTATACAGCTTGGGACCAAGATACCTGAGGTTAGATAATCTCACCCCTGGCATACATAAATTGATCACTATGCTCTGCAGGTGAGATTTTCCTGTACTAATAGTAGTAGTAGTAGTAGTAGTAGTAGTAATATAATAATAATAATAATAATAATAATAATTAATAATTTATTTATACCCCACCCATCTGACGGGGTTTCCCCAGCCACTCTGGGCTACTTCCTGCAGAATATTAAAAACACAATAAAACATCAAACATTAAAAACTTCTCTAAACAGGGCTACCTTCAGGTGTCTTCTAAAAGTCAAATAGCTGTTCATTTCCTTGACATCTGATGGGATGGCGTTCCACAGGGCAGGCACCACTACTGAGAAGGCCCTCTGCCTGGTTCCCTGTAGCTTTGCTTCGCGCAGTGAGGGAACCACCAGAAGGTCCTCAGTGCTGGACCTCAGTGTCCGGGCTGAACGATGGGGGTGGAGACGCTCCTTCAGGTATACTGGGCCAAAGCCCTTTAGTATCCTGTAGTATCCTGTTATCTTTAGTATCCTGTTATCAGGAGATAATTTCTGCACAATGTAATAGTCGGGACTTTAGTGTTGTAGCACCTACCCTTCGGAATTCCATTCCCTTGCAAAATAGAAAGACCCTGTCTCTAGTGTTTCTTTCAGTGCCTCTTCCAGCAAGTTGCCTGAGCTGAGATCTTTTCCGCTCTGCAACTGTGTTGCAATTTTTAAAAAGAGGTTTTTAACATGTTTTTTCACTTACTGTTTTGCAGCCCTGGGCTCCTTTAGAAAGAAGGGTAGCTTAAAATTTTAATAAAATTTAGGTCTCACCTAAAGACATTTATGTGACATTACTTCTAGCATTAATGCTCAGAAAGGCCCTTTGCTACAGCCATGTCATTTTCTCTCTCTGTGTGTGTGTTTTTAGGGTAAAATTTCTTTTTTAAGTAATTAAAGTTTGTGCCCCTGAAGAACGGCAAAACTCATGTAGCTCTTTAAATGAAAAATTAAGTGAGAAATGCCAGTAATGCTACCATATTCTCTTCCAGTAATGCTCCATTTTTAAGCATAGATCTTTTCTTCTTTTTCTTTGCTCTTCTGTTCCCAAACTCTTTTGGCTCCCTTCCCTGAGCCTCCACCTCTCCTACCTGCTCCCCTGGCTAATCTCTTTCCCTGAAATGGAAATGTAGTTTGTTTCTATACTTACCTTCTTCCATGCTGCCACATATACAGTGGTACCTCAGGTTACAGACACTTCAGGTTACATACGCTTCAGGTTACAGACTCTGCTAACCCAGAAATAGTGCTTCAGGTTAAGAACTTTGCTTCAGGATGAGAACAGAAATCGTGCTCTGGCAGCGTGGCGGCAGCAGGAAGCCCCATTAGCTAAAGTGGTGCTTCAGGTCAAGAACAGTTTCAGGTTAAGAACGAACCTCCAGAACGAATTAAGTTCTTATCCTGAGGTACCACTATATCTTTGAACTTGCTTTTTATTTACAATGGGGTATGTGAATGTGCAGCAAATGTATACCTCCCCTTCAAAGGCTTCCTCCCCCTTTCTTATTGAGGGCAGATACAATTGCAACTAGCGTGACTTTTGCACTAAGAAAAATAAGCAGCTTGTTATTTGTCTAGAAAGGCCTTTACATGTAAAAGTATCACCCTTAACTAGTTTAACCCAGCACCTTTCTTCCCTTGTCACGCACAGACTTGGAGATACTGTGAAAACCTGGGATTAGCTTGTTTGCATTTCATTGTTTTCTTTTCTAGCTGCAATCCGTTTAGCTATGGTATGCTGAGTTTATCTGATTAGCACCTAATGAGCCAAAGGGTTTTGGAGAGAAAATGTTGCCTGCATTTCTGCAAATTATGGGAATTTAAGTTTGTAGTACCCTTTTCTCATCCAAATAGTTGAAATTCCTTTATCTTTCCTGCTTAGGGCTGCCAACACTCTTGATTATTATTATTTGAAAGGCCACTTTTGAAAGATCTTTCATAGCATCATAAATCATCTCTTTTGGGATACCCTGGATTTGTTCTATAAGGAAAATACAGAGTAGTTGAAATCTGTGTTGCTCTGTCCATGCACTGCTCTATCCATACTGATGAGAAAGATGTGGTCCTCCCTCTTGTTGCAGCTGTCATAAGCCACTTGTGGTATGAACCTTGAATAGTGTATAAAAGCAGCTGGAGTCAAAACTGATTCAAAGCCATCAGGGTCAGGACTGACAATATAAGGATGAACAATTTATACCCCACACTTCTAGTTATTTTGTCTTGGCATATGGGATCTACACATTTACTCACAAGTTATTGATTAATCAGTTAAGGCTATGGTCCAAAGGACACTCAAGCAGTAAGTCCTATTGAACTTAATGGGACTGACTTCTAACTAGTCCACATCCTTCAGATTGCAGTGCACACGAACAAAGCAATTGTTTTGAACAAGAAAGAAACCCTTCTTTGTTTTTAGATTATGCCCTTACAAGTCACGGCAGTCTCTGTGAGAGAGAGGAGAAGGAATGCCTCTTCTAAAATGAAACACCACTACTCCTGTATTTTTTGTACTGTAAATTATCGAACAATTACTTTAAAATTCTTTAGTACTTTTGGCCCATCAAAACGCTTAAATGAAATAATAGACTAAACATTGCAGCTTTGCTTAAAAGATTTGGATGGGCTTTAGTCAGTTTTGACTACAAGCTGCATTTAAACTGGTTTTGCCTCCGTGCTTTTCCTCGCATGAGGATCTTAGCCAGGCTGGCATTATTGTGATTAAAATGATCATCAATGTTTTGATATTTCTCTCTCTTTCCTTGCTGCTTCCTGTTCAGGTTTGCAATGATGTGTGGCTACATGTCTCAGTTTGAAAGTGTGCAGAACAAAATCAGGAATGGCTATCTCTTTAAGGTATGTTTTTGGTAGCTTTCTTAAGCTGCTGCTATTATTAAATTACTTCCTCCTGACAGCTTTGAAGACAGTGTTTAGAGTAAAAGTAACTGCCTGGGGGACATGCTTCAGTGCCAGGATTATGCTGAGGAGATGAGATTATTTTTGTATGCTCCTACCAGACATAATGAAGTAGCTTTCAAACTGAAGAAGATTTAAGTATGACTTTGTGAACCAGCCGTTCAATTTTTGTACTGCTCCCAAGTCTGAATTTCCAAAGAACAGCATGAGACGGGCAAAGAAGTGCATAATTATGTGTTTGTATAAAAAAACACACCCTCATTTACTCTTGGTTTACATTAACATTCTGAGGTCTGCTTGTGTCTGTTGATTCACTGCTGATGGAGTTTAAATGCAGGGCTGCTACTGATTTTAATTAAAGCAGTATTTCACCCTTACTTGGTTATTGATAAGACATTACTTGTTGTATTCTAAACTTTAGAGTCAATAGGCCATGTGTGTTGGATAATGCTTGTTTGAGGCTTCTTCTTGATACAAAGATGACTTTGGACAACTATATTTACAGAGTGCCAGGACAAAAGGGAAATGGTCCACTTTGTGAACTTGAGCCTATAGCCAGGCAAAGGAAAGTTCATTTTGGTCTTCTTTCTTGCAGGAGCATCTAGACAAAGCTATTGAGCTTAAGCCGCAAGACCCTTTTTTATATTATCTAACTGGAAGATGGTGCTATGAAGTAAGTAATCCTCAAGTCCTTTTACTCAACAGAAGCCCTGTGAAGCTTACTTAAAATTGTACCATTGAACAATTTTACTTCTGTTTCCGGAGAGGAGTTGAGTGTGTGAAGCTTTCTGTTAGAGAGCCATGCCACCTAGCCTAGTACGCTCTCCGCTGAGTGGCAGCAGAATCCAGACACTTCTGCATGCAAAGTTCTGCCACTGAGCTCTGTCTATCCTAATGAAGTTTGTAAAGTGTGCCTGTGGCAGGTGATCTGTTTTATTTTATTTAGAGGATTGATCATTTGCTTTTCAATTCAAAATTCTCAAAGGGACAAAATTGAACACAATATAAAAACAGCAGAATCCAAGCAACCAAGAAAATACAAGGGGGCAAGTTGCAACTGCTAGAACAAAACAAAGCAAAACAAAACAAAACAAAACAAAACAAAACAAAACAAAACACAAAGCAGTAGGTGCTAAACATGCACTTGAAGAAGAGGAAGAGGAAGAAGAGTTTGGATTTGATATCCCACTTTATCACTACCCAAAGGAGTCTCAAAGCGGCTAACATTCTCCTTTCCCTTCCTCCACCACAACAAACACTCTGTGAGGTGAGTGGGGCTGAGAGACTTCAAAGAAGTGTGACTGGCCCAAGGTCACCCAGCAGCTGCATGTGGAGGAGCGGAGACGCAAACCCGGTTCACCAGATTACGAGTCTACCGCTCTTAACCACTACACCACACTGGCTCTCAATAGGCAATAACTTGGATCTGGAAGAAGAAGCTGGGGTTCCAAAGCTTAAGGGCAGGATGCATCATGAGGCTGACAAATATGAGACCAAGGCCCCACCGTCCTCCTTGCCCTGGGAAGATGTCTGTCTCCCTCTGACAAACGTAGATGAGCCCTAGCTCACCTCTCCACTTGAAGTTTCAGAGTACTGTGTTTCTAAGCTGCTTTGAGTGCATTCAAAGCCCAGAGCAGCTACTGGGAAGATCGTTGCACCTTCCCCAGCTCCTAACTAGACTGCAGGACTGAGGTTTAGACTTCTAAAAAGTAGTGGAACAAAAAAAAAGTAGCAGTAGTATTCTCTTCTTCAAACCCATATTTAGTGTTTGCATATCTTTTCAAAAAAGGATGTAAGCTTTAAATCTACCAAGCATACTTCTGCTTGGACATGAAAGCCATTAGTAATAAAGACATAAATATGCCAGACTTTCCTGGTCTTTTCACAAAAGAGAACATGCAATTTATGAGTAGCATCTCTGTTTCATGTTATTTAACTTTACCTTGGACATCACCCTACTTGGAGACTGAAATGGTATCCAAGATAAGAGAACTTCATATCCAAGTTGGAAAGGAGCCAAAACACTGAAGATAATAATCTTACTCTTATCAAGTAATCTAGACAGAATATCTCAAGAGAGAAAATTATACGTGAAGCAAGGAATTAGATGAAATCTGGGATCAATTCAAACTCAGGGAAGCAGAATTCCATACACTATGTTAATTGCATAGGCAGACAACTGATTCAGAGCAGCTATGGAAAAAACTGATTCAGAGACACTAGTGTGGGCTGCAATACATTTGCTTTCATTAGGACACCATGATCACGGTGTTTGGTTTGGATGGGGGCAAATAACCGCTTTATATATAGAGAGTTTATGGGATGGCATTGGGCAAATTGTCCCCAACCTACCTCTCAGAAGTATGGTTAGGTTGCACTGAGTCTAATAGTGGGGGAAATAATGTAATAATAAGGCATTTTCCAGAAAGGACCCAAGTTTGAAAATTGTCTTGGCTACTTTGAGGCCAAGTACAAAATTGTACTACTTGGGAATTTGCATGGGTTTTTTTGGTTTCTGTAAACCCCACTGCCACATCCACCTCTTTGTAGTAGTGGAATAATTTAATGTGTACTTGCACATCACTTGTTCCATCACAGTTTTCACTGGCATCCCCTCAAAGCTCCCTGGATAACCTTGGGTCAGTCACATTCTTTCTTAGCCAAGCTTCCTCCACAGAAGTCTTGTGAGGATAAAATGGGATAATCCTGCCCTGAGCTCCTTGGAGGAACTGCAGGATACAAATGTGACAAAGAAATACAGTGGTACCTCAGGTTACATACGCTTCAGGTTACATACGCTTCAGGTTACAGACTCCGCTAACCCAGAAATAGTGCTTCAGGTTAAGAACTTTGCTTCAGGATGAGAACAGAAATCGTGCTCTGGCAGCGCAGCAGCAGGAGGAGGCCCCATCAGCTAAAATGGTGCTTCAGGTTAAGAACAGTTTCAGGTTAAGTACGGACCTCCGGAACGAATTAAGTACTTAACCTGAGGTACCACTGTAACATGTACAGCTCTGATATAAAAAGAAGCATTTTTTTTTGGTACAATGGCTTTTGTTCTAAAGAGCAAGAAAGGATATTCCTAGACTTTCTCTATCTGGCAATATTGTATTAATAATGAAAACCCCAAAAGGCCTGTTTTGAGAAATCTCATTTATAAAGGTATTAGAAATTCTTCTGGGCATATTTCCCTTTAACAGGGGCTAGAACAGAAAGTCAAAGCCCTGTATGCAATTGACATCATACATTTTTGGTGTTCCTTTAATTTTGTTGGAGATTATATATAGAAAGGTACTAGAGGCAAGCCAAGCAGTTCCTTTTTTGGGTACGAAGGCTTGTTGAGCAGTGAAAACCAAACCCTAAGCCAGCCAGAAATGAAACTGAAACCCTCAACATCAGTTCTTATTAAATTTTGTAAGGAAACCTGTATAGTGCCAGACACATCTCATTCTTCTAAGCTCAAGCCACAGGTTTTAAGCAGCTAATTATAAGTTCCACAATGGAAAAATTAGAAGTCCTATGACATCACAGCTGAACCTTGTGTGGGATCCATCAGTGTACAGTATTATGAGTGTATGTATATTGGAATTTGGGTGGTCCACATGAATATTATATAAGCAGTATTTCCCCTCATTTTATTCTTCTGTCAAGCCATATATGCTTCGTCTGGATTAGCTGAAACTGATGCTAATGCACAAATATTCCTCCACTTCCAAGAGAGCAAATGCTTGTCCACAACTGGCCTTACCAACCCCCCCCCCCAAACTGCTGGGAAGTTTATTTTAAAGTTTGAAGTGTCCATTTATTTGGTTTTTTTTTAATAAAAAGGACAGTAACATTTCCCTTGAGAAATGAGGCGGGGAGGTCTATGTGCTTGCTACTTCCTATGTGATGATAGTTTTCATCCTAGAAGTATATTTGCAAGTCATTCCACTAACTAACAAAATATGTTTACATAACCTGTTTATAGTTCTAGGGAACTGTATTCTTTGGGGGCGGGAGGAAACCACTAACACATGAAGAATTTGAATGACACATCTACGGTGAAGTTTGAATATGTGTGTTTGTATACACCCAGTATATCATGTTGACCAATGTGAATTCTACTGTCTTCACTGGAACTTCTTAAATGTGGATTCTTGGTGTGCCATGGTGTTGTTTTAAATTCCTGCTTCCCCCCACCCCTTTAGACCAAAAATAAAAGCGTTTTTCTTAGGAGTGTATCCTGAGATACAGAGGTGGTCATCTTGCTTATTTGTGAAAATACTTTATTTATATGCCACTGAATGCCAAGATAGCTTCTCATTGGTTTGCAAAATGTAAACACTATTCCTCTAAACAGGTCTGCTAGTGCAAGAACTTTTAACCACCCTTTTCCCTTCCCACATGTCTGCTTATAAATATGCACCAGGGGCTGTTGGGGGAACCCCTAGAACAGATTCAGTGGGTGTTTGGAGAGAGGAGAAGATGCAGATGTTTCATTGCACAACTAAAGGTCCTTGTGCTAGCAATGCTGTTTAGTTGGATATCACCCATAAAAACCAGTTGTACAACTGAGTAGATCCAGTATGGAGCTTTTTTTCCAGGGTTGGTTAATTTGTTTTTCTTGAAGATAGCTTATTATGGTAATTGGCTTGCAAAACAACACTTTGTTTCATTTCCTAAAAGCATCTCTGAAACAACACTCTCTCCACCCCTTCTTCCTGCTGTTTCCAAAGGTGGCTCAGTTGTCTTGGATTGAGAAAAAAGTAGCTGCTGCTCTTTTTGGGACTCCGCCAACTTCAACAATTCATGAAGCTTTGCAGAATTTTCTTAAGGTAGATACTGTTTCCCACTCCCTCATTTCTCTGCAAAAGCCCACCTACCAAGTGGCTGGTGTTCAAGAAATTTGCTCAACAAGTTGTTCTCGGCAGCTATAAATTCAAAGCTCTTCTAAAGGCCAAAGATTTCTGAAATGATATCTGTAGAGGAGTAACTGCACGCATCTGCCTAAACTAAATTTAATTCATCTGCTGTGTCAGCGTTTGTTGGGATTTGGGCTGCTTAAAGTGTAAAACACCTTAAGGTTCATATGGAGAGCTGTTTATGTGAAAGTTGCACCTGTTAGAGCTTTTGGCTTGTGAATAGGATCCTGTTTGAAAGAAACCTGGCATGATGTATTGTGCAAGTTGCAAGCTGTAATTTGCAGGTTCTGCCCGGAATAGATGGGCAGGACCATCCACCCAGTGCCACGCTGGTCCTGCTTTTTGAGCTGCAAACTGCCTTGTGACCCTCCACCTCATTGAAACTGGGGCCATTTTAATTTCACTTATTCGCCTCCTCAAGTGCCCCCTCACTGGGTCTGTGTCCCCATGGGTCCCACAATGCCAAATGTGGTACCTCAGTGGCGGAGTTCCCTGCCATTCTTTGTTCCACACACTTTGGGTTAGGGGTGGCAAGCAGTTGCAGCCTCAGCTGCTGGGTTCACCATTTCCTACTGTGCTGCATCTTTCTTTCCCCGGCTTGCTATTGCGGCATGCCTGGCAGATATTCCACTACCACCACCAAGTGGTGTAGCCCCTAGGCCTACGTCCAGGGCTAACAGTGCCACTGTTTCTATGTCAGTGTGGTGTAGTGGTTAAGAGCGGTAGTCTCGTTATCTGGGGAACCGGGTTCGCGTCTCCGCTCCTCCACATGCAGCTGCTGGGTGACCTTGGGCCAGTCACACTTCTTTGAAGTCTCTCAGCCCCACTTACCTCACAGAGTGTTTGTTGTGGGGGAGGAAGGGAAAGGAGAATGTTAGCCGCATTGAGACTCCTTAAAGGGAGTGAAAGGCAGGATATCAAATCCAAACTCTTCTTTGTTCTTTATTATAAATATTCCGTTGACTTTGGTGTTCTTGCTGTCCTGTCCTTCATCTTTTTCTCTTCTTGGTCAGGCTGAAGAACTACAACCTGGATATTCGAAACACAATTATGTCTATTTGGCAAAGGTAAGTGAAACTAGTCTGCTCTCTTCCTCTAATATAATTTAGCGATTTCTATTAACTTAGGTACTTGGTGTGATGTTTTCCCTCCTCTCTCCTGTCCAGTGCTACAAAGATCTTGGCCAGAGGACCAATGCGCTGAAGTTCTGTGACACTGCATCATCAATCCTGTCAGTCACCAAAGATGTGAGTCTGAAGCCCCATTTAAATTTTATTTATTTATTGGACTTTTATATCACCCTTCATCGTAAGATCCCAGAGCAGTTCACAAGATAAAAATGCAAGATACAAAAAAAAAAAAGCTAAAAGAAAAAACAACAAAGCAACAACCTCCCCCTTCCCACAGACACATTTAAAAGGCTGTAGAATATTATTCAGCCAAAGGCCTTGTTGAAGAGCAACGTTTCGCCTGGCACCTAAAGATATATAATGAAGGCGCCAGATGAACTTCCCTGGGGAGAGCATTCCACAAAAGGGGGATGCCTTCTTTGGAAGCAGTTTCTGCTGCCTCATCAGTCACCTAGGGATGTTATGATACAGTCATGTATCATAGCCTGAATCATTAAGGCCTTTTCCATGCTATTGTTAGTCGTGATGATGAAGTACAGGGTCTGTATGGTGGTACTTGTCTTCTGCAGCTTTCATGTACTTTAAAGAGTGCCTGCAGAGGAGAGCTTCCTGGTACGTTGTACTTTTATTTCTGTAGAGCAGGAATGGGAAAGATTGTGGCCATCTAAATATTTAACTCCCAAACCCTGTCAGCCCCAGCCAGTGGTCAAGTGCTGCTACAGTTGTAGCTCCACTATATCTGGAGGGCCACAAGTCCCCAACCTCCTCTTCCTCTAGTGCTCTAGAGGAACAGTTAGAAACAACAAAAAAGAGAGAAGTCCTGGGCCCAAATCGTTATGAAATATGGCAGTTGCATGCAAAGTAGAAGGTGGCTTGTGACATCCCCAGTGTGACTGATTGCAGTAACACATGGAAACTGCGTAAATACTAATAATATGAAATTATGTTTAAACAGAGGACTATCATAATAGTGATGCTTATTTTAATGAGGAACCGGGTGGCATGCAGTGTAGTTAGTCACACTGATCAGATGAGCTGTGACTGTCTGATTTTGAAGTTCTGCATTAGCATTGTCATAGGCAATTCAGTAAGCAGTCTGGAGCGTTCCTTAAGGCTACGAAGCCCAACATCGGAGGCCCACCATGCAAAACGTGCTACAAATGCACTTAAATATAAGATGGGTGTTATGTTTTTGCAGGGAGGAGGAAGACTTGATTCAGATAAATTATATCTCATTTACTTACGCAAGAAGTTTGAAATGTGGAATTCTGTAGTGCAAGCTTTGGGACCAGTGCTGCAAGCAGGTTCAGGTGGGGAAATTGTCTGGCATCTCTTCCTGTTACTTGACAGTATTTTGGCAAAGATTTGCAATGACTACAATAAATATCTTTCAAGGCACTGATACATAATTTCTTGGTTTGGTTAGGTTGCCTTAATGTTGTTGAAAGAACTATCAAGCAAAAGCTTGCTGTGGACACATTAATTATGGAGTTGGATAGATTTCTGAATTCTCGGATCTCCAGTCCAGTTCATGCTCCAAGATAAACTAAGAGGTCCTTCACAGCTCTGTCTGCCTAGCTTGAGATTTCATATCCTTCCCAAGTGGCTCATTCTGCTATAGAATTCCTATGAGGTTTCCTAACACTTACTGCACTTTAATCCTACAGGGTCTCAAAGACTTTAATGTGTCCACAAAGTTGTTAATTCCTAGGGGTTGCCTGGTTTTCCTGTGTATTGCAGGGTGCTCTGCATTTTATCTCTCCAGCTTACCAGGGCTTGTAATATGGTCTTCTCAGTGGTGACCCTCCAGTTGCAGAATGTTCTTCTTGTAAGGCAGGCCAGTATTATTCTCCCCATATTGCAGTGGGGATGGGAGGACCAAGGATGAGTGAAAGTAGCTTACCTAAGGCCATCTCATGATATCATAGTGGAGGTGAGGCTTCAGATAGCAGTTTCCTGGCTAATAGTTGACATTCTTAGCCATTATGGGTCACTGGCTCTCAAATGTAATGAGATTACTCTAACAAACCGTGACTTGTGTGAACATAAGCAATGAGCTTGAACACTCCCTCTTCTTCTCTGCTCAGCTGCAGAGGAGATTTATTTGTTTCTTATACCTCAGTGTTCAATGACATCTGATCCAGTTGTTTTGAACATCCTGTCGACGTCTGAACTAGGCCTATTTCTTCTGTTCCCCTTCTTGTTTTACATTGAGTTAAAAGTAGCACTGGTCAACAACAAATTTGTTGTCTGCATTTTTTCAGCTGATTTAGGACGAATCTGATGTGCTGAATCCAAAAATCACATTGGTTTTGCTCAATCAGGTCAAGTTTTTGAGCTATGGCCACGTGGTTTTTTTACGTTTTTGTTCACATGTATGCTTGTGTGGAGCATTTTAGAAGAAGTTGGTGGGGGTAAAATGCCCTGTTGAATAATTGTTTTGATTGGAAATGATTATTTTAATGACAAGAAGTATTCAGGTCCGATAGTTCTGGGTGATTATGTCGAAAAGGGATCAGTTTGAAGTCATAAAACCTCGAAATCTTCCATAAATTGGTGCAGCAAAGCATAAAGTTGGGGGATCAAAACTAAGTTAATGGTGCTTGGAGTGCCACAGTACGAACCCAAAGATTGGAGACTGTTCATTGACAGCAGCAAGCGATCACTGAAATGTGTTCTGCTATACAACGGCAACCAGTTTGCCTCTATACCCATGGCTCACTCGAGTACACTGAAGGAGAACTATAAAGCGGTGAAGTATGTGCTGGAGAAAATTGGTTATGATCAGCATAAGTTGTTTATTTGTGTTGACCTGAAGATGGTGAACTTTTTGTTGGGACAACAGTCTGGCTTCACCAAGTACCAATGTTTTCTGTGCATGTGGGATAGTAGGGACCGTGCTCAGCATTACACAAAGAAGGACTGGCCTGTGCGGGAGGAACTGGTGCCTTGCAAAAAAAAGGAACATCATCAACGACCCTCTGGTGGACAGAGACAGAATACTCTTCCCACTGCTGCACATCAAGCTCTGCTTAATTAAGCAGTTCACCAAGGCTCTGGACAAGGATGGTGACTGCTTCACTTACTTGTGCCAGGCTTTTCCAGGATTGACCATGGAGAAGTTGAAAGCTGGCATCTTTGACGGTCCTCAGATCCGTCACCTCATCAGAGATCCAGAGTTCGGAAACTCAATGAACGAAGTGGAACTGGAAGCGTGGAAGGCATTTGTTCTGGTAGTGAAGAACTTTCTTGGCAACAATAAGGCCAGAAACTATGCAGAACTTGTCAACAACATGCTGACTGCTTTCAGAAACCTGGGCTGCAACATGAGCCTCAAGATGCACTACCTATTTTCACATATGGACCGGTTTCCTGAGAACCTGGGTTCAATGAGTGACGAGCAGGGGGAGAGATTCCATCAGGACATGAAAGAGATGGAGACCAGATATCAGGGTCGCTGGGACGCAGTCATGATGGCTGACTACTGTTGGACTCTGAAGAGAGACCTCCCTGCCGCTGAGCATTCCAGGAGTTCCTAGAAACGGAAGTTCAAGCCCTGAAGTTTGAAAAATGGTGAAGCAACATGCAATTTACGTGTACTTACCTTTATCAATGCCCACCATTCAGTTTACAGTAAACCTGACCTGATGGAGAGAAACGGATGCCATTTCCTGATTCAGCAGTGCAAAAATACCCTAAATCAGTTGTAGAAATCTAGACAACATTCAAAAAGTAAAAAATTGTTGCCCAGTGTAGTCAATATCTCTTTCCATTGTTTCTTCTTCTTATGACGAAACTACCAAGTTGCTCGAGATTTGCATCAAATAGCATGTTGCCTCTTCTGTGTATCTTTTTTGCTGTTAGCTAGAAATGAACTCACAGTGGGAGTTCAGTTCCTATCATCTTATCTGCTGTTGGCCAGGAAGCTTTCGTCAATGGATCCCGAAATATCATTGCCCGCTGAGTGTTAACAACATTGCAGAGCTAAACCCTTTCCCAATTATCTGTGTGTGTGCCTTGTCCCATCAGTCTGGTGGTTGGGACTGGTGATTCCCAGAGTACAGTGACTGGGAATCAAGCCCAATACACCTTGCATAAAACTGAAGACTAATATACCTGGCTGTGTAGGATACTGCTTAGAATAAAACCAGTTGATTGCAGCTCCAAAAGACCAAGGCAACTGCTCCATGCAAGTGTCTGTGCAGTACTGGTGTCCTCAGCCACAGCATCACTAAATTTGCAGTGGTCAGAAGTGCCTCATGCTGCTATGGAGCCACATCACACAGACAACTTGCTGCTTGGAGATGTAGTGCCCACAGGGTTCCATTTGAAATGGTCATATTTGAACTTTGCAACTGTAGAGCAGTGACTTTGTGGGAGACACCAAATAAATCAAAATGCAATGTGATCCAAAACAACCACAACTATTGTAATAGACTATATTTGACTTCTAAATATATGTGTTTGAAGGGCCTAGAAATGATGATAATGTAAGCCACAAACGTCAAGCCACAGGAGTGCCTGGGTTCACTTAAAGTCTTCCAAAAGGTGATGACTGGAGGATGAAAACCTTTATTAGTATCCATTAGAATGTAATGTAATGAATACTTCAATGCAGGAGGAAGTTGGAAAGGAAAATCATTGTATCAGGTTAGCCCCCCACCCTTTGTTCAGCTTTCTACTGAGCTGTTGCATAATGATTAAAAGGAAGAATGAACTAGTTATGTTTTCCTAGTCCATGAACACTGAAAATAATCCCTTGTTTTGATGCAGAAGTTGGCAGTGGGTATAGAAGCTCTGGGTGGTTCCTCATATGCAATGTCCTTTTTTTCCTTTTAGGATAAAGAGGCTGATGAAGATTTAGAAACATTGCTTCCGTCACTGAAACTGTGAACCAAACAACAACAAGCACTTTTCATTATGTTTTTGAATGATACTGTGAAAGGCATCTGGGAACCCAGATCCGAGTTCTGAAAGCACGCATATGTGGGTTTTGTGGGGTTTCTAGCCATGGGAGGCTTAGAATTTGGGGAAACAGGGCTGAGATAATACCAAAGGGTTGTATCTAAGGCTGGCTTTGATCTAGTGGAAAGCACTTCCACTTGCACAAGATGATGCACCCAGATTCACCAGTTACCTACTGTTGTGTCCTCTGCCTATCCCATAATGTTTCAGAGGGTTTCCCAACCCACGGGAGCAGCTTTTGAGGAGGCAGGTGGGGGAGTGGGTATGGAACGCTGCAGTGGATAGGGGTGGGATAGGCAAAAACCAGGAGCCTCTTGTGTACAAGCAGAAGCGTTTTCCATTATTACTACAAAGCCACTGCTGGGTACAATCCCAATAATAATCCCAATACAATCCCAATAATAAAGTCAAGGGACGGATGGATCTGTCAATTTCAGTTCTCTAAGCTTCTCATTTTTCCGGTCTTAAATTCAGTTCTCCACATTGTGGCAGCACCCTGCAGGATCCCGCTCCACTTTTAAATACTAAGGGAAGGAGAGTGCCAGCATTTTAGTGTGAATTTCTCCTCATAAACACAATTTTGTATGCATAATTTTGACTAACACCCATACCTTTGGAAGCAATTTCCCCCAATACATTTATGTATGTTATTGTTAACCGATACTCATTTCTATGCACCCTTTCTCCTAACATATGCATTTTTGTAAAAACTGTGCAGTTGGGAAACTGCACTGCAAAATTCACAGAATTGCTAATTTTGAAGGATGGCTGTGTTTCAATTCTCCTATTGTTCCAGAAAGTGCAATTTTGGTATGTTCCCCTTTAAATGTGAACTGAATCTAATTTCTTCCCCAACCCTAATGAAGTCTGAAACCCCGGGGGGGAAAGTCATTGGACTGGATTACTTCAAGCCCATTAAGAATGTAGCAGTTACTCATGTGCAGCAGGTATCATATGCCTGCATTAACACATTTCTTTACACTAGACACCCATTCAGCCACATATTGTTGGTTATGCTGTAAAAGAATTATCAATCCACCAGTGGAGTCCAATCATGTGAATGCTTACTGAGAAGTATGACCCGTCAGGCTCTTCTTATGTTCTTATGCTAAGCAGGATTGTCTTGAATGCCACCCCAGACTCCTATTCAGATGGGTTTGTTGAGGCATGCCAACACTCCCAGTTCTCCATATGGTGGCTGGTTCACATGAAGCCTTATTTGTGACTGCACAACACCAACTTAAAGCATCGCCATATGTCTCAGGCATTGCCCTGTTTTGACTGGGCTGAAAAAAGTGCAGCTAACTCTGGAATTGGTTTTAGTTTTAAATGCTGCTTTTTCTCCTTGGCAACATATACTCATGGACTCTCTGTAGCAGAACACATCCATGATCGCCTCATTCCTTTTATAGTGGTACCTCGGGTTAAGAACTTAATTTGTTCTGCAGGTCCATTCTTGACCTGAAACTGTTCTTAACCTGAGGTACCACTTTAGCTAATGGGGCCTCCAACTGCCACCGCACGGCTGCTGCACAATTTTTGTTCTCATCCTGAAGCAACGTTCTTAACCCAAGGTACTATTTTTGGGTTAGCGGAGTCTGTAACCTGAAGTGTCTGTAACCCAAGGTACCACTGTACAGGCTTAACCTGCAATGAATAAGTTGTGCATCGGGGCCCTTAGGTGAATGTCGCCAAGGAAATTGGAACATGGAAATCATGCATTTGTCTTTTTAAACACATTTCTACTAGTATTAATTTTTAAGACTTTGCTGGGAATCTCCAAACATAAAATCCACTGCTGGCAATGGATGTCTTGATGGTCATTAATCATCCTGAGAGTGACTAGGAAGCTAGTCTTCGTTGCCTACACAGGCATGGAAGGTTAAATTGATGTGCACTTGTTCTTTCCCTTTTTATCTTGGAAAGTATGTAAGTTGTGGGAGAATTGCTCTTTGAGGCTGTTATTTTAATCTCTGGATTTTAAATAGAAATATAATATTTTATAAATCATGTATTTACATATTATGCTGTTCTTGAAACATCTGAAATTGAAATATTAAATGAGATTTGACGGAATTGCCTGCTGTGGTAGTATATTTCTATATGCATAGTGGCAAAGTGAGTTGCTTCAAGGCACTGCTTCTGGTGAACGACTGATCTAATGTAAAATCTATGCCTATTGGAGAAGGAACCTGAACTGAACATGGGCAGCATGTAGAGTCTGGAGAGTTTCAAGTCATAGCAGTGAAGCCTCAGTTGTCCTCACCCCTTCCCAGTTCCCACCTGCCCAAATCCACTTATATAAACAGTTTAATACAGGCAATTTGTTGCAGTCTGGGCATCTGACCAATTCTTGTTTGGATCTATGATTAGATAATCCTTTCAGACTTCACAGGATCAAACTTTGTCTTCCATAGGCAACAACTATCTTACTAAATGAATGCATTTGCATATTTGATATCTTTCAAGAGAAATAGATGGTCCTGGTGGCAGCCCTTGTAAATCTTTACTATCCCGTCTGTGGTGATATTCCTGTAGCAGAGATGGTATTACAACAAAATTGTACATACTCCAGAACATCCAAACCTTTTAAATATAGCTTTAAAGGCCCATTTTCCCCTTCAGCACTCTGCTTCTTATCCACATTGCTATTGATTGCTTCTGTTTTGGTTTATCAACCAAGCTTGTGCCATGCCTACTGTTTCTGCTTCCTCCCAGTCACCTTCTGGAGGGATGACTGCTTAGAAAGGGAGAATATGGAATATTTTCTTGAATATGCACATTTCCTGTCTCATCTCTTTCTCTAGCTGAATAATCTGTGTACGCACATCCCTACCCCCAAAAAAACAACAATCCTGGGAACTGTAGTTTAAGGGTGCTGTGAATGATAGCTCTGATGATTCTTTATGGCAACTGGAAAACATGCTTTTCAACATGGTGCATACACAGCTGTCTCCTGTAAACTGCCTTTTATCCATAGATCTCAGGGCGGTTCACAACATAAAATTACAATGCTATGTAGGGAAAGTCCACCTTTCCCAGTGCTGACTTGCCTGTCATAGCTGGGGCCGGTTTGCATATGTAGCTTGCTAAAGATAGCTTTTACAAATACTGCTCAAAGCCACAAACAATTCAGGCACTGATAGGTTTCATATTTACATAACGCTGAAAATAGTTCCCTATTATATTCTATACTTAACACAATAATGCTAGTGTTTTCACAGCTAATTGAGACTTGCTACAATAAGCTAGCAAGCATTATTTCCCATACATTCCAGAAGCTTCTGGCATCCATTTTGTGTCGTCTTTCTGTGTGATTTTGCTTCCTGGGAATGATGGCTTAGCCACAAAACACATCTAAAAACGGGGAGGGGAGGAACGAATCAGCACCATTTCACTTATGCATGTTTAATATGCAGGCTGTACCGCTCTCCTTCCCTTAGGAGCAAAATAATCTGAACCACTTATTTGCTGAGCCACCCAGAAAACACAGTTGTGCTGCCTCCCTGCCATCTTTCTTGCCAAACCTAATGTAATCTTAAACTTGTGAGCTACCCAGCCAAGTTTTGAGCGACTTAGTACGTGGTTTTTGTGCCAAGCAGATAGGCAAACCACTCAGCAGTGACCACAAGCTTGTCAGTAAGCTATACCTGACACAGAAGAGTCCCAGGGGCAGGAAGAAGAGCCATAATTCCCAAACTCCAATAGTGTAAAAGTGCTCAAATGTCACATTGCACGAGTGTATCTTGCAGTGAAAGGTTGCTTGACTTCCACATCCTTATGTGCTCTGATTACACATATGTTTATATGCATTTGTGCATGTGCGTGTGTGTATAGATATAGGTAGATAGAAGATATAAAAAAGTAAAGGGTCTGCATTACTTTTTTCCTTTCATGTTTACTTTATATGGTCAGTTTATTTCCCTATACCATGTGGGCCATGCAAGGGAGCAGATGTTATACATGTGGGGTGAAGTGATGGACATGAGGCAGGAGTTGATAATGCAGGTGAGCTGTGCACAGGTGGGCTGCATGCAAGCTGCCAGCCAGCCCTGTGGAGCCTCCTTTTATTGAGACACATATGCAAACCAGGCAGATACATTTTGGGCTGTGACCTTTACACATCTTCCGGTCCCGAGATAGTGGGGTGGCACAAAGTTATTTTGGCACCTGTTTCCACCCCGTCATTTTCCCCTTGCACAGTGTATGACGAAGGAGACAAAAGGTCTCAGAGACAAAGGTTACAGACAGGGCACCGCAGACTACTGAGACTGCAAAAGGTTAGGCAGAGGGAACGATGTTCAGACAGCTGTGGCTTGTGTGTGGGGGGGGTGCCCCGCACCCCAAGGTCACGCATGCAGGCAGACTGTGGCTGCCTGCTGGTGGTGAGTGTGCTCTCTCCGGACCCCACTCCCCACTCCCCGATCATCCCTACAGTGGGGATTCTGTAGAGTGTTAACAATGCTTACTATACTATATTGATCATAGGATAAATGCATAGTTCTTGCTGCATGGTATTTGCATAGGCTGTTTTAGCACAGCTCCTCTTGTGACATATTCTGAAGTTGAGTTAGGAACTTGCATAGGCTAAAAGATAGTAAAACAATGGCTATAAATGGCTCTGTTTAAAACTCCCATTATCAGGAAGAGGAGAAACATAATATCACTCTCTAAGGAAACTGGTCTTGACGTTTGAAATATTTACACTCGATGATGGAAAGCAGACTGCAATAAATTGCAGAAGAAAACCCATTTTGTGCTTTTTAATACTCCCTTGGCAGAAAAAGTTCCTACCATATGATATGGGAGCAATCTACCATGTCAGTCATACAAAGGCATGTGTTAACTGCTCTCACACAGCATTTATGGGTTTGGCAAAATGCATTTCTTACACGTGTCATTTGCCAGTGTTCTATTAATGGAAATAAATATAGCTTAGGGATATTTAGCCATCTTTTTATTTTATGGCTAAAGATTATTGCTTTGTCCAAATCACCACTCAAAGTAACTTATACTGCAGGGTCCAGCAAGGGGAGATCTGTGGGTACTATTGATATTATTACACATTGCAATGTTCACATAGTCCCTATTGATCTTGATAAGTGCATATACTGTACTGTAGCTGCATACTCTCCACGCATTTAAAATGCGTTCCTTCCCCTGAAAATTCCTGGAATTTGTAGTTTATTCCTCACACTCTCTAAACAAACTCCAGTTTCCCAGCTTCTCAATGGGGAAGCAACATGCTTTAAATGTATGGCTAATGCACAGCCATAATGCAGATAAAAGTACACATTCCCAGGTGCCAACAAATCCACTTGCCAGGGGAACACTGGTGGACCAGCCCTTCTTGTTCTGGTGGGTAATAATGAGGCTTTAAAGTTTTATTGTTGCTTGTTTGTGATGATTAGACTAAATTGAAATGGTAAGAATCACGTCTGGAGGGACGCGGGTGGCGCTGTGGGTTAAACCACAGAGCCTAGGACTTGCTGATCAGAAGGTCGGCGGTTCGAATCCCCGTGACGGGGTGAGCTCCAGTTGCTCGGTCCCTGCTCCTGCCAACCTAGCACTTCAAAAGCACATCAAAGTACAAGTAGATAAATAGGTACCACTCCGGCGGGAAGGTAAACGGCGTTTCTGTGTGCTGCTCTGGTTCGCCAGAAGCGGCTTAGTCATGCTGGCCAATAAAGCGAGATGAGCGCCGCAACCCCAGAGTCCGTCACGACTGGACCTAATGGTCAGGGGTCCCTTTACCTTTACCTTTAAGAGTCACTCTGTAAGAAAGGGGCAGGGAACCTGTGGCCCTCTGGATGTTGATGGGAGTTGGAATCCAAAAAAATCCAGAGGGAGGGATATTCTCCCTCTTTGCTGCGAGATAATACTTATTGAGACTGGGAAAATAAGAGGGCTGTTGCTTTCAGGTTTTTTGTAGTGACTATTGCAAGGGACTAAATGTCAAATTTGAAGAAATTTGAAATAGGAGAAGCTGGATACTTTTTTGAAGGGATTCCTACTTCGGATTTGTAACTTAAACTTTGCAGGTTTGTTTGCATTTTGAACACTAGCACCAATATGGTAAGGCAGCCCCACTATGGAAAGGACACTAAACACCTTGTCCACTATGATACTGCTCCCAGTATTTCCATTTTTATACTAGAGCACAGCGCTACATGAGGAGCACTGCCAGCTGCTGTGTGCACATACTCTAGGAGTGCTATACAAAGAGAGAGTTGTAGAAACATATTCACGCTGAAAAACCTTCAGTCATACCGACTCTGGTCAACACAGGCCGAGACTGTCCCAGGGGTCAAGCCTGCTTTTGGGATCCTGTGCGTAGCTGTGCATTTTTCGTCCTGATTGCACTGGCAATTGCTGTTGAAGGGAGCGCTGGGCCAGCAGTACAGAAGGTTCCCATTAGTGCCGAAAGCAGAAACATGTGGGAATGTCATGAACAACTTGCTGGCTCATTTCAGCCTCAGGGGTGCCTGATTGATCACTTGA